GATAATTGCCATAAAATTCAATGGAATAATTCCACAATTTTAACAAAAGAACAATCCACAAAAAAACGTAAAATTAAAGAAAGCGCACTAATTTCCTACTATTGTTACACAATTTATTAACATACTCTTTTTTAGGTTCATTTAGGTTCTTTTGATAACGAGGCGAAATACCCAAAAAGAAGTTTGTAAAAACCAAATTTTTATAGTTCCAAAAAAACACTTCAATATTTGTGCAGGTGTCTGGTTTACATCAGCGGCTCAGACGATAGAAGCTCAGATTTTTTAGTAGATGCATCAGGCTCAGAAATGTAACAGACATTCCAGGGCCAAAAAATTACAAAAGTATTTCTAATAAAGCGCCCAATTTCCCATCTTTTTGTCAAAATGACTTTGTTATTTTCTTATGCACGGACGGGTTTAATAAAAACCAAATTGCTACTTACTCAAGATTGATATTCTTCAGCTCTCCAATGGTCGGATTCTTCGATTTCGTCTCCTCAGCGGCCACCACCGGATTAATCCGCGACAAATCCGCTCTAAACTTGCCCCTTTCGTACGTATCCAGCATCAAATAGTCCAAAAGATCACTGAAATCATCTTCTTGTTCCTTGTTCGAAACCTGATTCTGCATCTGATCAGCACCCGATTGCCGTCCAGCCTCACCTCGAAGAAGAGCGGTTTCATTGGGCAAGTTTTCCTTCGAAATATTCATGCTGATGCCACTGGAATCGAAACGAAAACAGTCAGAAAAGTCTTAATTTAAAAGGCGAGTTGAAATTAACCACTGTTGGCCAACAGCAAATTAATAAAATTTTCAGATAATTAAATTCGGGCCTAATGAGTTATCTGGGGTTTTGGTTTTTTGCCCTCGGGATGCTAGTCAAGCGGAAGGGCTCAATCATCGGGGAAATTTCACGTGCGCTTGAAACACAATCAGCTGAAAATGACGGGCAAAATATTTTCGTAATAAATGGAGCCGGTTAACATGAGTTCGCCGCCTACATGCCAAATCGGCTTTCCTAATTACTTAGCTTACACTAAGTTTGCAGTATTGATGATTAAGTGCTTCCATTTCCCTCTGCACATATCTAAATCATCCCGAAACTGAGAATACTAAGAGGAAACTCGATGTTTAAGCGGAGATGAGGAGGATTCTTCTCTGACCGGTATCTCAAGGTAATTTTGGACCCAATCCAATTCCTCCTTCCTAGAAATTGACTAAAATTGAAAAATTCAGTTTCAAAAACATCACATTTTGAATGCCCTTTAAGACGAGAAGTTCAGGCCCCTTCAGGTAAAATTATCGAACTGCCCACCTGAAGGCTTTCCTAAAAATTTTTAATAAAAGTCGATAATAGCGGCAAGAACGATACCTACTTTAATTAAAAATTCTACACTCAGCTCTTATAATCTGTATATTTTAATGCGTGAAAAAAAGTGTATACAGTAAGCCAAGTGTCATCAATCACTCGCACGAAGGCACTGGAATAGATCCGGTTGGTCCTTAAATATTTAAGGGACCAATCTTTTCGCCCTTTGCAAAATGAATTCAACTTTTTATCAACCTGTCAGGGAAGTGTCGGGTTCGACTGGAAAGATGCGCTTTGAAAAATGGATAACGCACGACAAAAAAACACTTTTCCAGTCATGTTGAGCGTTCGCTCGTTGCCTGGCTGAGAAGACGATCATTGAGTTATTCGCAAACTAAATAGCATGTTAGATTGTCGAACTTTTAATCTCATGTGCGTTCGTCTAGCTAAAGTCATCAATCGAACATTTCAATTACGTTTCATGCCTTCTTGGAACATCCTGGACGGATTCAGAGCAATTGTGAGGAGGTTCTCAGTTACTCAGATATGTTGAGCGCAAAAGAGAAAATGTTTGCGAAACTTGAGCAGATTGTCAAAACGTAAAAATTCGGGAGAATTTTAAAGTGGGCGGAGCTAATATTGGTGAAATGGGGGAAAACAAACTTTTGTATAATTAATAACGAAAAAAATGCATTTTGTCCCAATCTGTATGAACAGTATGTATAAAAAATGCAAAAAAAATCACCTTATTTTAAAAATGCATTTGGCAGTTTCTGCAAACAAGTTTACATTAATTTTCCATCTTTCAACAGATAAACAGCAATGTTAACTCTCCAATCTTTCCATCCCCTTCGGGTTCGAATTTAAAAATAGGCTCACCATATAAATAATGTTTTCAGTAACAACTTTTTCTTAGTGGCTCTTCTTGGGGAAATACGTTTTTCCTTCCCTTTTCACTCATTGAAATTCACTAATTTTCCATAAGAAAACAAATGGCGCATTGACTATCAGACCGAATTTCGTGCATTTGCCAAATCTATATTTTTGGCTTTTAATTGATTTTTTCTCAGGCACATTTTGCATGGATTTAGGTAATTTTTGAATGACCTCAACTAAACGCTAATTCCACCAAAACAGAAACTCACCGACAGAGAAAGAGCGATTTTGATGAGTGGCACTAATTTTGAATTTTCGAATTTTGTGTGAAAATTAGAAACATTTCTAGAATAATGTTCGGTGCAAAAAGCACATAATTTAACGCTCTATCGCGCATTGAAAAGTCGAGCTTTGTAACTCAACCAGTTCTCTTAATACGAGCCAACGAATAAAAGCGATTATGAATACTCGCATTAATTTTGAATTTTGACTGAAAACTAGAAACATTTCTAAAATGAGGTTTGGCGCAAAAAGTACACAATTTAGTGTTTTAGCGCGCATTGAAAAGTAGAGCTTTGTAACACGACGAGTTCTCTTAATACGGGCCCACCAATAAGAGCGATTATGAAGACTAGCATTAATTTTGAATTTTGATTAAAAACTAGAAACATTTCTAAAATGAGGTTTGGCGCAAAAAGTTCACAATTTAGTGTTTTAGCGCTCATTGAAAAGTTGAGCTTTGTAACACGAGTTCTCTCAATACGGGCCCACGAATAAGAGCGCTTCTGCGCGAAAATTAGCCAAAAGTGGTCGAAAATCGGCTTTCCCCAAAAAAAAACACTAAGAAAAGTAGTTGGTAAAGAGATAATCTATAATGTAAGTAAATTTTTGTACTTCATGGAATGTTTTTGTGCGCACTTAAGGTTATTATTGCAGACAAGCAGGAAAACGAAAAGTTTTCGAGCTGACATCGGGAGAAAGATATTCATTTACTTTCCAAAAAGATCAATTTGGAAACAAATTTTAAATGGTTTTTGACCCCATTTTGCCCTATGTGAATCTGGCGGCTTAAAAATTGCTTTGGGGTATCAAAGTAACATAAAGTGGTATCAATAAAATAGGAAAAAGATTATTATTATTATATTAGATAAATTGGTGTTGCGTCAGTGCACTGCTATTCCCCGGCTAAAACTGATTACGAATGCAACTTAAAACGATTACATTATAATGAACAATGCAAATATTGGAATATCGATACGCGTGTGCCATTGAAATGCTATTTTTCATAGTAGTTAATATTCGAAATTTATTTCGAAATTGAGGACGTTCGGATAATCAGTTCACTTGCAAGCAGACGTTATTAACAACATTATTTATCTCTTGAAGTCGTTTGGCTGGGTTCAACAAAAATAATCAAACGTTTCCAATCAGTTTAACCCACAAATTCCAAGCCCATGGGCAGAGTGATGAAAAATTGGAACAATTTTGCCGAGAGCTGAAAGTGTTGGAGAGAGATTTTTAAGCAACTAAATCAGGTAGGATAAAGATGAATTTTATGGAAAAATGTACCTTCGTAAACTTTTCCTGAGAACAGGAAACAACCAACAAACAAGAAATATATCACAAGAGTAACATGTTGGTTTGGAGCTCATTAAGCAATAAACAAAATCAGAACCTCACCTGTGAGTTTTCTGCAAGAGGCGATTTTTGAAACTGTGATATGCCGCTTCCGGACCCTCTTCGTTGATGACGGTTTTAATTCGTCCATGGGAAGGAACCAGATGTTTCCTGGACAGGCCCAAGTCCATCTGAATATCCATTATTAACATCAACGTGAATAACACGGCAATAACACTCGCGCACAACACAAATCGTTCTTTCATTCTTAAGCCGCTCAGCAACATTTTGCGAAAATTGAAATTGTCTTTTGCAGCTGGTGGATTCTGAAGCACTTCTGAGGTTCTGCTGTCTAGTTCATTCGATTGCACCAAGTTCGTATTTGCAGATATCACAGCGATTGATTCGTTATTAGTGTCAGTGGTTTTAAACGCGGTCACGATGTTTTTATTCGGCAAATCCGCATCAGCATTATTTGCTATTAGCAAATCTTCAGGTGGCCGGCTGTAGTTAGTTCTCTGTCTTGGCTGTTCTCGGCTGTTGATAGTCACATTGTCAGGGTTGTTGTTCGACAAAGGTTTCCTTAGAACTAACTCGCTTGTTGGGCTATTAGTGAAAACATGCGGCTCTCTAATACTATTATCACTAAGTGCACTTGAGAATACCGCCTTATCTCCGGTCTGAGATAATAGAGATTTACTTATCGAAATACTGTTATTATTGTTGTTATAAGTAGAGTTTCGACTAGGAGCCCTATTTTTGCTGCATAGTCCCACAGTCTTATTAGTCACTTTCAGCAAAGTTGCGGCTTTATTGTCTAGCTTCTTGATAATGGCCGAGAACTTGGACACTCTCGCTCCTCTATGTTCCAGGCTGCTATTATTCACATTCGGTGAAGACTTCGTGAATGTGACTTTGGTAGTCTGCACTATTGACCTATTGGTATTTCCAGTCTTGTGCGGACAGTCAACCGACTTCGACTTGGATAAAGACGGCGGATTTTTTCTTCTGAGGATCGGACTGTTGTAATCATGAATATAAGTGGCATCTATATTGGACTCGCTTTCCTCTGAGTCGTGGTAGGTGAGCTTTCTTGAGTATCTTCTCGCTAGGATGATGGAATTTTCCGGTCGTATTTCGATGGGACGAATGCACAGGTGATGTTCGTTGTAGGGAAGTGTAGGGTTGGCCTGACAAATTGGCACCAAGGCTGCGGAATTGCACCATTGCAGCCCTTGTTCGATTTGCCTATCCAGATTATTTTATTCGATAGGGAAAGAAGTGTTTAATCTGAAATAGAAGACTATCAGATATTATTACGAACTAAAAAATAATATTTTATTGAATTAACAGATGTCCTATTTTGAGCGATTTTGTTACATCTGTTTTAGGTATGCACATTTAGACGTTCCTTAGGTCGAAAGTTAAGCATGCACTTAGGGATTTTTGCCCGAAGAAATCGAAGAACTATTTTCCCGAAAAAACCCAAATTTCTCAAAATGGCTTAAATTCTATCCCAATTTCAGCGCCATGAAGCGAGTGTTTCAATAACCTCTAGACTATTTAGATGTGAAAGTGTCGAATGTTTTGACCCATTTTAAGCGTTTTTGAACCGTTTTTTTGACAGAATCTTTCGCATTATCGAACTCAAACGAGTGCTTTGTTCAAAATCTCAACATTTAGCTCAAAAAATACAGTTATGAAAAAATTATTATAGGAGAAAAAAATGAATGCCTCTGCATTTGTTCCAAGAAACACTCAAATCGCTCAAAATACTCAAAATAGAATTTGAGATTCTATACGAATTTCATTGCCAAGAAGCGAGGATTTCAACAACCTGATTAAATAACTTGTTAGTCCTTTAATATCCGAAATGATCAAATATTTTGACCCATTTTAAGCGGTTTTCATGGGGTCACGATTTTTGATCGACGATATTTTCCGTATAATCTAGTCGAACAATATTTATGTGCATATGGGGAGCTTCTTACATAACAATCTAAAATTTCACCTCAAAAATTGAAATTGAATGTGAAAATTTTATTTTTGTAGAAACAATGACGAAATTTTTCGTTCGCAAAAATAAAAATTCAGCTCAAAAAACATACATGTGAAACTTTGCTTTTATGGAGGAAATATTATGGAATGGTACCTTGAAAACATTTGTTCAAAAAATCTGAAATCGCTCAAAGTGCCGCAAATTCCATACGAATTTCATCGGCCAGAAGCGGGGATTTTAACCAGCTCATAAAAAACTCGCTTTCGCGGAACTTTCCAGGTCCAAAATAATAACATTTTTGGCCCATTTTAAGCGGCTCTTCCAGATTATCGACTCAAACAACCTCTAAATGCATGTTGATGAGCTTCTTCGATCGAAATGTAAAAATTCGGCTCAAAAAACGCACATGTAAAAATTTGATTTTTGAAGAAAAATGCCTACTTTGGAACCTACTATTTGTTCAGAAAAAGTCAAATCGCACAAAATGCCTCGAATTCTACACCATTTTCACCGCCATGAAGTGAGGATGTCAACAATATAATTGAAAAACTCGTTAAACCATTCAGATGCAAAATAATGAAATGTTTTGGCTCGTGTTAGCGCCTTGTGAGCGGTCAAGAAAATCAAGTGAAAATTATTTTGGCCGGAAATTTCACAAGATCTTAAACTAAACATTGAGTTTAATTAAGCTGGTTAACAACAACAACTTTTAAATCAAAGAAAAAACACAAAAATATCATCAGTGAGCATGTTGAAAATATCCGAATTCTAAAATCGTCACAAGGCGTGTTCGTTAGTAAAGTTTAAGTAACCGAATAATTCGTCCCCAAACCTCGGAATGTAAACTATTGCCGAAATTTCGCAATTTGATTTAAACTATGCTAAACACCGCTTAATACAAAATGCTTAGGGAAAACAGCTCTTTATCCAGCGTTCAGCGCATTAAAATTTCAAGTATACCCATCATAAAACGGCTCCTGCCGCTTGCAAGAAAATAGTTCAGCGGGAGTATTGCAATTACTTTACCTATGTTCATGCTGCGCGTATAGTCCGGGATTATACAACTAATTCCCCGGTTTATGTTAATAACCGAAACTAACTTGGCAAACTCATAAACAGTAACCCCTGGTGCCATTTAATATTTATACGGCTCCAGCAAGATGATGACCGGGTCATTTTACTGGAAGTGGTTAATCAAAAACTCATCGCAATTTTAATCTGATGATGATGATGATGATATTTTGGAAATGTTTCTCAAGACTTGTACAAGCAAGCATGAATGCTTCGATCACAATCACTAAAACGAGGCAAAAGTAAAGTTCCAAGCCTCCAATTTAGAGCATTTTAGAAGAGATTTTAACTGCTGTTTCACAAATTCAAAAACTGATTGTTTTAGTGTTCTGTTCCATATGCGAAATCGTGCCAAAGCCAAAGAGTGGATACCAAATCAGAGAACTGAAAAAAAGAACAAAACCAATTTGGAACATGTTAATTGGCTTAAGTCCAAAGCTCCTAGCAAAAAGTTATTTATCCAGAACTAACGGGAATAATTGGTTGGTCTCGTTGGCATATTTCACCTCGTCGTTTTAATTCCAACATCAAGAGAGGATTAGCTCGAACTTTTAGGTCTAGGGATCAACTATAGTCGCTTAACAGAGTGCTGTTTCAATGGGGAAAAACACGTCAATAGTGTCTTAACTTTTAGTCAATTTTAGCGACTTGTATAATTTTTTATCGACAACCAGAAGGACAATCAGTCCTCCAAAAGTTTTAAGTAAACGAGTAAAACAAGGTTTAGTTTCCTAAGCAGCTACAACTGGGTTTTTTACAAACTTCTTTTTGGGTATTGTGCCTCAAAAATTTTTGTCTTTACAAAACACAGAATTTCCTCACGTCTTTTATTACAGATTGATAAATAGTGCTCCTATTTCGCAATAAGAACAAATTATTTATCAAAAAGTAATCAAGAACTGTCACCTAGAGGGTATCCTGCGACACACTTAGGCTCAAGCTGTAAGAGAAAATTCCAATTAGTAGAGAAATTAATTTGAAAAATTACCTTGACGTTTCGATAGCTGTTTTCTGCTATCGTTATCAAAATAACCTAAATGAACCTAACAAAGAGTATGTTAATAAATTGTGTAACAATAGTAGGATAATATAATATATCAAAATTCGCTCTGATAATTCGTTTGTACAAATTGTCAGTTATGTGACTTTGACTTAATCTCATTGTTTAAATTAATAAAGGTAATGTTAATTAATAATTTTG